AAAAAAAAAAAAAAAGAAAAAAAAGGAAAACAAAGAAGAAAAGTCGCGCTCTAACTAACTTTCATGCTAGCGTAGAAATTCTCGCATGCCTAATATACGCCAAATGATTTCAATTACGATGCATCAGATTGAATAACGTTAGTCGTAGTACGGAGCGGCAGAGGATGCCTCGGTCGAATCGAATTACTTCGTCGCTTGTTAATTTACATCCACGAATGCATCTGCGACCGCTCGCTACACTCCGAAGTGAGCGAAATTAATTCGAGTTCCACCGAAACATCCAGTATATTTCCCGCACGTCGGCGCACAGAGCGTTACGCTGACGATTGGAAGAGAGATCATTGGTGACTGGCTGAAAAAAAAATGGAACCATACAAAGAGATACGAGAAAGAACACGATGCAGACGTATCGCCAACGTTTAATAAGAGAACAAAGGAATTTCATGCTTTCGTTTCGTGCTTCTCATCTACATTCTCGAGTTTAGGGGAACGATCAAGAGAAATCGAGAAAGAAAAAATAGGGGAAGGCAGAAAGAAGAATAGAAAAATAAGAGCAGAAAGGACACAGAGTTTCCGGATCGTGGTACGAGCGAAAATAAAGAATGGGGCAATGTATGTATGTGTGTGGTGTGTCGGATTGATCGAGCGTGAGATGTTTCAAAGATTATTTTATGCGTCGAGAGTATATCGTTCGTGTCCTCCCGGATCTCAACGATTTCAGCCAAATTTTTATATTCGGACTTACGCGAGGACTTGCTCTTGTCGTCGGTGTGGGTTGTCACAATCGGTGAACTGTCCATTTTGCAGTGCACTGTGAACAACACAACAACCAACACACTGATTGACAAACAGCAAACAAAAAAGAAGCGGAAGGTGTTGCGATGAACGAGAGTTTCAACGACGCGAAGTGACCAGATGCAACGACTTGAGAGAGAATCTTTGAAAATGAAAATAAAAAATTAAAAAAATAAAAAAAAAACACCGCGTTTAATTCGCTTTGT